ACAGAATGAGGTTCATAAGATGCTGGATGTGCTTCTCCTTGGCAGCAAGCTCAGCTCTGAGAGAGGCATTTGCGGAAGCGGATGACACAGAGGTGAGAAAAGAGCTTCAAAACCTTCTGGCTAAGGGCAAGGGAGGCCTTGCCAAACGGAGCAATGGGAGGAGTCCACTGATCAGAATCAAGAAATGGCACCTTATGACGCTCACAGATAAGCTGGATCAGACATGGGAAGACAAGAGTTCCCTTGTGTTTCGTACCATGATCTCTAGTCTTGCCAAGAATAGCATGATAAAGAATATCCCCAAGGGGAATTTTATCATGATTCACCATAGATATCATGAGTTGACAGGCAGCTAGGGTGGGATTCGAATTGTTTCCCTTAGGAAGAACATTATGCCTAATAAAATCCCAAAGGAACTTGTAGAAAGGGGACATATACGACTTAATAGGAAGGCCCTTAGAGGTCAGAGGCATAGACTGATCAGGATAAGCCATGGTTTTAAACAATTCAATAGTATACTAAGAAGAAACAACAGCAAATTTTTCAGAACTAAAATCAGGGAAAGACCGAAAACCTAAAAACCGATTGATTACAGACGGTTTCAGAATAATAGGCACAGACCTAACAACAACCTGAAAGTTGGACCCCTTGGGATCAGCAGGAAAATTAGAGTAAAATTCCCTAACTACAGAGGAGTTAAACTTACCAGAGAGAGCATTGAGTGAGTGAAGATGATAATGCTCAAAAATCTGAGTGGCAGATTCTTGAGCAACCAAGGGGAGAGCTTCAAACTGGTAAGACCTCTCAGGCACAAATTTCCTCTTAGAGACAACATCTTCAAAGAAGGAGGCAGCCTCAAGGGACACAAATAGAGAGGATTCCTCAACAGGAGTAGAGGAAGAAGAACGGGTCCTAGGAACCCTAGGAACAGAAGGAATGAAATCCACTCTGTCAGTGGATTTCGATTTGGAGCGACGCTTGTAAGAGAGGAGGGGTTTCGAAGAAGATATGGCGCGCTGGAAAAGAAGACGAAAACAGAGATTGAAAAAACAAAAAAAAAATGAAAAACCAAAGGAGAAAGGGTAGAGAGGAAAGCGACAGGGAAGAAGGTGACAGATGAAAGAGGCGTGAACCCTAAAAGGTTGGATTCTGAGAATAGGGGCTGAAAAAGACTAACTGACAGAAAAAAGAAGAAGAAGAAGAAGACGTGAGGACTCAACAGGGTGTCGTTTCTGATTTTAGCGGCTGAAAGAGAAACTGAAAAGGGAGTGCAAGAAACGAGAGGGAAAAAGACCTAAAAAGGAAAAGACAAAAAAACTGACCCAAATGAAAAAAGAACCGCTCAAAAACAAAAAACAAGGAACAAAGAAGAAACCGCTGAAAACAAAAAATTAACCGCTAAAAACGAAAGGGTCGTACCGGGTAGGAAGAAAATTAAAAACTGATGACTGGTCAACCACAAGGAGGATGACTAGTCAACCAATGCAATATCAGGAAAAGCGTCCAACCCAACACATCCGGATGACTAGGCAACCAGAAGCACAGATGACTAGTCAACGAAAGCATATCATGACAAGCACCATATTTAGAATTGACCCTGTGAAAGACATGTTTTTGGGCGAAAAACACAAGTATGAACTAGCAAATAACTCAAGTGAACAAAGATGCATCAGCAAAATATCCTAGACCAAGTCTTCAAGCACATGAGTGAGAACAAATAGAAGAAACATAAAAATCATATGCAAGGAACATAAGCAAACTGCTCTGAGAGAGAGAGTATGAAATGCAGCTAATGCTTAGAGACAGGGCACATTTTGGAATAGGGGGTTTAGAGCTAAGGGACACACAAGATGATATCATATCTCTCTTGGAGAGACAAGTATACAATGAAAAGTTAAGACATGATCAGAGTAGGCTCAAAAGGCAAGTAACATCACTCTCTAATGACAAAATATTGTAAGATTTATTTTGATTCACTTGCACATCCCAGACATAAGTGCTTGAATGGCCCAATTTTACGGCTCTTTGCTCTAGATGCTTCAAACATAACACCTTATACCTTCCTAGAGCCGTGATTACATTGGTCACACTTACTTTTTTTTTTTTTTTAAAATTTATTTTTATGTGAAATTTCTGAATAGATTGGCTAAGAGAGTGAGACAAGCTAAGAGACACTAACAATGATAGGCCAAAAGATAATCAAAGACACTTGGCTCACCAAGAGGATAAGATAGCACAAGGTAAGTCTCAACTAAAAGCTCTAAACAAGAAAAAGGGGTTGTGCATAAATCTGGAAAGCACAAGAAGCAGTCAAACTTCACACTAACAGAGAGGAGAGATATGAAACCATGACATATTCAATAAAACACATGTTGTTTGGGAAATTGAAATGTGCTGAAGACAAGGAAACAGACATGCTAATCAATCAATTGAGCAAAGGCCAATGGACTGTCTGAGTGTGACATGTTTCTGAAAGTCCAAGGCCTTGGTGAGTATATCTGCAAGTTGTTTTTCAGAAGGAACAAACTCTAAGGTTAAAATTTTGTCTTCCACAAGCTCTCTAATAAAATGATGCCTTATGTCTATATGCTTTGTTCTAGAGTGTTGAACAGGATTTTTAGAGATATCTATAGCACTCATGTTGTCACAATAGATTAGAAAGCAAGATTGAGCAAGACCATAGTCATCCAACATTTGTCTCATCCAAAGAAGTTGAGTGCAGCAACTCCCAGCTGCAACATACTCTGCTTCAGCAGTGGATAGTGAGACAGAGTTTTGTTTTTTGCTATGCCAAGCAACAAGGTTGTTGCCTACATAAAAGATCCCTCCAGAAGTGCTCTTCCTATCATCACTACAACCTGCCCAATCGGCATCACTATACCCAACAAGATTGACACAAGTGTCATAGGTATACCACAACCCAAACTCAACAGTCCCACTCACATATTTTATGATTCTCTTAACAGCAAACAAGTGGGAGACAGAGTTTTGTTTTTTGCTATGCCAAGCAACAAGATTGTTGCCTACATAAAAGACTCCCCCGGAAGTGCTCTTCCTATCATCACTACAACCTGCCCAATCGGCATCACTATACCCAACAAGATTGACACAAGTGTCATAGGTATACCACAACCCAAACTCAATAGTCCCACTCACATATTTTATGATTCACTTAACAGCAAACAAGTGAGACTCTTTTGGATCACTCTGAAATCTAGCACACACACCAACACTATAAGAAATGTCTGGTCTACTAGCAGTCAAGTAGAGAAGACTTCCTATCATGCTTCTATAGAGAGTTTGATCCACATTTTTACCAAGCAAGTCCCTATGAATCTTAGCACCAG